ATGTATCTGTGTGTGTGTAATATTTAGGCTGAAAAGAATCAGTAGAGTTAACCAGGCAAGAGAGAGGAAAATAACTTTCTAGACAGAGGCAAAAGCATGCGAAGGTCCTGAGGTGGGAAGATACTGGACTGTTCAAGGAACACAGGCATGCAGGAATGGAGCAAAATGAGGACAGAGGTGGGCAGGGGCCAACTGAACTCCTGGGCCTGCACGTTTATGTTAAGTTCATTGGATTTTGCCCAAGAAAAATCACTCCGGCTGCTGTGCAGATAATGAATTAAAGGAGGTCAAAATTGGAAAGACCAGTTGAGCTCTAAAATTATTGTAGTCCAAGCATAAGATGATGGTGGCTTAGATAGAAGCGATAGCAGTGAAAAGGAAAAGGATACATGAAAGGGTGAATGAAGGACACAAAGGACACATTTCACACACAGGCTATGTGGGAGCAACACGGCTGGTTTATTCGCCTGGGTGCGGGTGGGCTGAGTCCGAAAAGAGAGTGAGCACAGAAGGGGGTTTAGTGAGGTTTTTATACATGGGCATAGCCGACCCCCTCCCACCTGCCCCGTTCAGTTCTTTGTTTCTGGGCCAAACTGGCGGGTGAAGAATTGCTTCTTGCTACGTGCAGCAGAGGACAGTGGGCAGAACAGCTGTTTGTAGTAAATTCTTCAAACAACCAACTCCTACGACCCCTTTTCCCCAGTCTCACCCATCCTTCTGTTCTGGCGTCATCCTTATCAGGAGAGCCAGGGAGAGACAGCCTTGGTCTCCATCAGGGAGGGAGAAGGAAGGAATGCTGGCTGTAGCTGGCTGTCAGATCTATTAGGGAGAGATAAGCTTTGTCTCTATCAGGGAGGGAGGGGGAGAAATGCTGGTGGTAGCCATCCGCCAGATCTACAAAGTCCAGGGACTCCCCAGACTCCTGCGGCTATTGTTTTATAAGCCTAAGTTTTGCATTAACCACATTCTGTCCTACACATACTTTTCAGGTTCCCACCTGGAATAAACCTAACAATACATTTTATATATGTTAGGGCAATAGAATTAACAGGATTTGGTGAAGGATTAGAAGTGGATGATGAGGAAAGAAGGTATAGTGATACCCTTCAGGTGTCTGGGATTTGCATCTGGATGAGTGGAGGGGCCATCGACTGGCTCAGCAAACACGGAAGGAGTAGTAGATTTCAGGAGGATTATTAAGAGTTCGGTTTTTTTTTTCATTTATTTTTTATTTCAAAATATTATGGGGCTACAGATGTTTTTGGTTACATGTATCAATTTTGTTATGCTCAAGTCAGAGTTATAAGTATGCCCAATACCCAGATAGTGTTCATTGTACCCATTAGGTAGGTTTAAGTCCATCTCCTCCTTCCCCGTTCCCCATGCTTGATTTCCACTGAGTTTTTCTTCCCTCTGTGCACATGTGTGCTCATCCGTTAGTTCCCGTATAATAGAGAGTACATGTGGTGTTTGTTTTTCCATTCTTTAGATACTTCACTTAGGATAATGGTCTCCAGTTCCATCCAAATTGTTGCAAAAGGCCTTAATTCATCCTTCCTCATGGCTGAGTAGTATTCCATAGTATACATGTGCCACATTTTGTTAATCCACTCATGAATTCATGAGTACTTGGGTTGATTCCACATCTTTGCAATTGTGAATTGTGCTGCAATAAACCTTGTCTTTTTGATAAAATAACTTCTTTTCTTTTGGGTAAATACCCGGTAGTGGGATTGCTGGATCAACCGGTAGGCTGACTTTTAGTTCTTTGAGGAATCTCTATACTGTTTTCCATAGAGGTTGTACTAATTTGCAGTCCCACCAACAGCGTATGAGTTTTCCTGTGTCTCCGCATCCATGCCAGCATTTGTTGTTTGGGGACTTTTTGATAAAAGTCATTTTCACTAGCTGAGCTCCCCAGCAATGGCACAGCAGGCTGCGAGCATCCCTATCCAGGATCCTGTGCTGGGTTGAAAGCATGGCTTTTCTGTGGGGGGAGGGGTGCTCCATGAGTGTGTGGTGGCTGGGACCCATGCTGTACTCTCTTTTTCATTTCTGCCCACAAGGGCTTCCTCACTTCCTGAGATTAGTTCACGAATCTCCCCTCCGTGCCCCTGAGTAACATGATTGAGTCCTGAGGGTATGGGATCTGGCCTGCAGTCCTGTCCCCAGGTCCCCGAAGATCAATCCCTGACTGACAGGCAGCAGTGTGCTGGTCTCAAGTTGTTTATGGGCTGTTCAAGCAGATTGCATGTCCCTCTGCTTCGGGGTAAGCCCTGCTCTGATGGACCCGCCAGGCAAGCAGCACTAGGGAAGGCCAGTGAGCAGGGACCTCATAGTCTGAGCACTCCTTAATCCTGCTGGCCTTTAAGAGCAAAGGTTTGAGCCCCTCTCTCTGCGGAAGCCGCCCAACAAAGGGGAAGCAGCAGCTCCTGAGAACCCCAGCTCAAGCATCTCTCTTGGCAGCTGTGGGCAGGGGAGGGAAAGGAGAGGAAAAGAGTCTGAATGGAGAAAGCTAGCCCTCCACCCCTTTCTCTGGAAGGCATCCCACCTAGAATGTCCAGGCTCTGAGGTCATGCTGATCCCTCAGGACCCACTGGCCCCTTGCGGCTCCCGCAGTCTGGGCTGGAGTTGGGAAATGTTTGTGTGGGAATGAGCAAGACAAAAACTGAGGGCTGAAGCCCCATGGGGAGAACAAAGGCACACCGTGGGTGGAGAAGCAATATGGCACCTGCCATCTCGGCTCAAGTCTGTGGTTACAGGAAGCCCCGCATGGATACTGGCAGCCTGGTGCTTTGTCCCCAAGAAGCTCCCAGTTCACTGCTGGCAGCAGCTTTTGGGTCTGTGAAGGTAGAAATGCTCTCTAGCAGCTCAGGAGCCTGCTGACTGCCAGAGACGTGAGGGAGGGAGAAACACACTACTCCACCTACCCTTTTTGCTGGACTCCAGGCCTCTCCCGGGTTGACCTCTGTGGATATCTTGCTGCTGCCTGTTCTGTTCTGCAATTTCTTCCTGTGGAATCTCTTGTAGGTTCTGCCACTTTTGCCTTGGAATTACACCCAATCTGCAATTGTTTGTTTGCCTTTTCTTTTTCATCTAAAACTTTTCCTTCTTTCTGAGACAACCTGGCAGCTGGTGTCTCTGGTCAGCCATTGTGCTGTCTATTCTAAGAGTTCAGTTTTGAAAACTTAAAATGTGATATATATATGTGAGACATCTGAGAGGAGATACCAAGCAGAGCAACAGGTATATAGCCCAACATTAAGAGGAGAGGCCTGAACTACATATGTAAGTTTGAGAATTGTTAGATAAGAGCACCTAGCAGAAGGCAGAATGAGAAGAGAAGAGGACATAGGACTGGGCCATATGGAACCCCAATAATTAGAAGTGAGGGAGGAGAAGCAACAGCAAAAGATGATGAGAAAGGCTGACCAGCAAGGTAGGAATACAACCAGGACTGCGGTATTACAGAGGCCAAGGGAAGAGAGTTTGGATAAAAATAGAATGAGCCACTCTTTTGAATCTTGAATACAGCCTTGTAGGATGCAATAGCCACAGGTTTAACATGGTGTTAAACATACTGTATTTATTGAATGAGTAGCTTTTTTATTTTTGGAATGACAGCTCTAGGTCACTAACAGAAACAATATTAGTGCTTATGTTTTAACACTCCAATTCATATCACTGAACAAAATCTAAAGAAGAATTGGGAAGCCCTCTTAGAGAGGTATGTAGAGCTGTACCAGAGGAAGGTTGAACAGGCACCGGTGGGGGTGATGGGCGGCGGTGATGGAGGACTGAAGTTCCTCTGTGGCCCTAGCTCAGCCTCCTATTTATCAAATCACATGACCAAAAAAGATCAGAGGAAGGACAGTGGGGGGGAAAAACACATTCATGAAACAGAATAACATAATGTTTTTTTACTGCTGATGTTCTTCCCATTGAGGCTTTTCAATGAATGCTGGCAATATGAATTGATATTTGAAATATGTATTCTAAGTTTGGTATCTACCCTTGCAGTAAATCCAACAGAGTGAAGAGCTCTCTTTCCTAAATAAGCCAAAAGGCTTCAGTTCTGTACTCAGGGATCCCAAAAGAGTTTGGTTGATGGTACTTCGGGGTCTATAAATTAAACAAATCATTCTATATTAATATTTCATTTCATGCCTTATATCTATAAAGCCATTCTCAATTCCTTGAGAGAAGATGAGTAATTTTTTCAGCTTTGTTTCTCTTATGTGAGTAGCATAATTCTTGGTTGATAGTTGCTGCTTAATAAATGATTACAAAATAAATGCATTAAACATTTGGGTGGCATGCAACCAGAAATCTTCACTTACTTTTTCTACTGACCATACCATTTGCAGATAATAATGTTAGATATATATGTGGAAAAT